AGTTCAATAAATAGAATTTGCACCTGAAACCTACCACCCAGGGGATGGATGTGATTGAAGATTTAAAATGTTATTTACCCTCCTGTTACCCTCAAATTTACAAACATCTATTGTCCTTGGGGTCCAGCCATTTAAATCTCAAGAAAAAGGGTTAAAAATCAAAATATTACCCAACTTTGCGTCAGGTAAAATAGGTTTCTTTCTTGTTGTTAACATAAAAAAGCCCTTCCAACATAACAGCCCCCCCACACACACTCCAAAAAACCTAATCCATGACTATAGGAAAATAGCCATTAAATCTCACTGAATGATCTAAAACTGGAAAGAAAGTTTTGTACTACTACCAACCCCAACTTCTCATATGTTCTCTATTTATTTCTGTTTTAATTTATTAATTTATCTATTAATTTATTTATTATTGAATAACTTGTTTTAATTTGTATTTATTTGTACACACAGATCAACACCATTTCCTCTTCTCGGTTTCCGCATGTGTAGCAAGAGCTTTTAAATTGTACCAGAACATTTTGTCACGGTGAGTCATCGACATGGCAGGATGCAGGCAGGACCCAAAAGCAGGACTGGTGCAGGTATTTTATTTCTTCTTCTTTTTCTTTCAGCTTTGTCCCTTTTTCATGGGTTGCCACAGCGAATCATTGATTTTCATCTCTCCCTGTTCTCTGCATCTTCTACTCCAACTATCTGCATGTCCTCCCTCACTGCATCCATATATCTCCTCTTTGTCTCCTACCTGGTAGCAGGTATTTTATTTCAAAAATCAAATTTCACAAAAACTCACTTCCAAAGACCAGGACAGAAGCATACGCAGAGCTGAGAACAGGAACAGGCTTGACAACTAACAACTACACCACTGACCAGCTACCATACAACACAATGATCCCACCAGGACAGTGAGGGAGAGAGGTGACACCAGTGAGACTAATGACAGAGACACAGGTGAGTGTGATCACACACATTACCCCACACAGCAGGAACAGGAAACAGACAGACTTGTAACTTGTCACATTTGGTCATCGTCAGTGTGTGTGTGTTGATGTCATGAAGGGAAAGATGCAGTCCAGCGTTTTCATCTCTGTGGTCACTCAATGCACAGCGGATGGCTCGTCCAGAAAAGACAAATGTTTAAAAAACCCAAAGGTAAGAATAAAACTTTGAAGATGATTTTCTGTTATTACACGTCATTTCTTCTTTTTTTTTCTTCTTTCGGCTTTGTCCCTTTTTTCAGAGGTTGCCACAGTGAATCATTGATTTCCATCTCTCCCTGTTCTCTGCATCTTCTACTCTGACTCCAACTATCTCCATGTACTCCCTCACTGGATTCATATATCTCCTCTCTTTCTCCTACCTGGTAGCTCCATCTCTAACATTCTTCTACCAATGTATCCACTGTCCCTCCTCTGCACATGTCCAAACCATCTCAATCTGGCTTCTCTAGCTTTTTCTCCAAACCTTCCTGTCTGTGTTGTCCCTCTAATGACCTCATTCCTGACCCTGTCCATTCTTGTCACTCCTAAAGAGAATCTTAGCATCTTTAACTCTGCCACCTCCAGCTCCTCCTCCTGTCTTCTGCCTATTGCTACTGTCTCTAAACCATACATCATGGCTGGTCTCACCACTGTCCTGTAAACCTTTCCCTTCACCTTAGCTGACACTCTTCTGTCACAGATCACTCCTGACACTTTTCTCCAGCTGTTCCATCCTGCCTGTACTCTATTCTTCACCTCTCTTCCACAGTCTCCTCTGCTCTGAACAGTTGATCCTAAGTACCTGAACTCCTGCACCTTCACCACCTCTGCTCCTTGTAGCCTCACTATTTCACTGTTCTGCCTTTCGTTTACACACATGTACTCTGTCTTGCTATGACTAACCTTCATTCCTCTTCTTTCTAGTGCAAACCTCCACCTCTCTAGGTTCTCTTCTAGTTGCTGCCTACTCTCACTACAGATCACAATGTCATCTGCGAACAATATAGTCCATGGGGACTCCTGTCTGACCTCATCTGTCAATCTGTCCATTACACGTAATTTTATCTGTTCAATTGTACAGTCTGCTTTCTGTTCGGGTTAAATGTCATTTCTTCTGAGTTGACTGTACTGATACCACAACATTGTTACCTTTTTGGTAATGTCGTCAATTATCTATTTTTTTCTTTCCGCACACATCTACAAATTCTTTCAGCATTAACGATAATCTACACTACGGGACCTTTAAATTGACGTCATTTCCTCTCCATAGTTTGCGCATGCGTGGCAAGAGACGGCATTCAAATTAAACCTGATTTACATTTACTCATCCTTTGTTTAAAATCCAAATACTAGAAGGTTCCTGAAAAAGAGTTTGAGGGAAAAAAAAGAAAATATGTTCATATATTAGATGAAACTTGAAATCATTCATTAATTCACACAATGCTTATGTCGCCTCTTAATTATCTCCAGCTCCAACAGGAATTCTGGGAAATGTCTTAGTCAGCATTTTCTATTATATATGACGTGGCTCCTCAGATCTGGAGCAGACACTTCCTGATTTTTGTTTTGATGCTGAAGTCGACACTTCAAAATCCAAACTCCGTGTTTTGAAAGAAAAAAATCCTTTTGTTGGTGTCTAATGTAAGACAGAAAATAATATAAAAAATATCAGGACAACAGCAGTGGTTGAAAATATTTTTATTATTTGTGGTTTTGGAGTTCAGGATGATGGAGAAGTGGATGTAGCTCCTCACCTGTCAATCAGAAGCACAAATAAATAAAGAGCAAGCTTTTACAGCATACATTTTTTTAAATGCATGTTATATTACATTTGACGCCACCTGAAACGGTATTGATGTAAATGTACATTTTTTCCTTATTTTCCTATAATGGAGACTGCCACAGGAGGCGCCATTTAGTAGGTCGTTCCTCTGGGGTTAAATAAATATATTATTAAATAATACTTGGATATATTATATATAATAATATTAAACATAAATATCATATATATCATGAATTGAACATAACGATACCTGGCAGTTAAATGCATGCTGTGAATTCCTTGCAAATAATAGAAATAATAAAAAAGATTTTAAAAATATGAAAATATAGCCAAAAGTAACAAACGATGCATATTATAACTTTATATAATGCCAAAAATAATGAATTAAAAATGACTTGTACATTAAATATATATTGATTATCAATTAATATAAAGTACATTTGTATATTCAGAAAAAAACAACCAGGATAGTTGATATTCAGCAAAATTGTATTTTAACACTGCTCAAATTTTGACTAAAAGTTATTATGTTTAATGAAATATGATGAGGCAAATAAAAGACAATTTGACTGTCTCACCGTTATGACCTACTGAGACTTGTTGCAGCAATGGAAGCGCACATCATTGAGGGTGGAGTCGTCCAGGCCGCGCTGATACTCTTCCATCTTGGTCTCGATTCCACAGATTCCTCCATCCGTGCAGTCCTCACTCCAGTAGCCGTACTCACCCCAGTCCATGCCTGGGCCCTCTAGTGTAGGATTGGAGCTGCAGCGGAACTTGATGTTGTTGGCAGCTGTGTCGTCACCAAACAGACCCCGGTGACGCTCTACACGCAGCTGGAAGGAGGTCAGGACACCACTGGGGCAGAACTGAGGGTGGGACCATTCTCCGAAACTGAACAGAAGATGATGAGCAGGAGGAAAACAGGTGAAAACTCGGGAAATTTCCCAAAGTTCCATATTCAATCTTGGCAGAGTCAAATTCTGTCTCAACTACAAAGAGAAAGGGTTTGCAGTCTCCTGCTGTTCTTGGAAGACCTGATTCTAACTTATTTCTGGGACTTTTTATTTTCTATAATTTTTTTCTTTTTTGCTAGTTTTTGCTATTTTGTTATTCTATTTTAGTTAGGATATGATAGTGTTTGTAATTTTTAGCACAGTTTATTCACTTGGCAGCAT